TGATTCTATCATCTAGTCTTTCAGATATTTCTCGGCTTTGTGTGTTATCTACAGATATGACATCTAGGTCTTTATACACAATTGATTTGGGGGGAGTAGGTAGTTTAGGACCTATGGTTTTATTGTTGTAAAGAACTCCCTTTAGGTGGCACAGTGTATAGAGCAGTGGGCCTATAGCCAGGAAGATCTGAGTTCAAATTCTGCCTCAGATACTAGCTGTGTGACCTTGGGCAAGTCACTGTACTTGTTTGCCTTAGTTTCCTCATCTGTAAAATGGTGGTTAAGAACAGTACCTACCTTGCAAAGTTGTCATGAGGATCAAATGAGATAAATATTTATAAAGTACGTAGCACAGTGCCTGCCACGTAAGTAGGTGCTATATAAATGCTTGCTATTATTATTAACAATTCAGATCAACAACTCTTCTACATGAGACTGTTCTGTCCTAAAGACTTAATGGATTTCCAGGGCACCAAGAGGTTAAGTAATGTGTCTAGGATGACAGAGCCAATGTCAGATGAGAAATTGTTCTAGCAAGGTTTTTCTTAAATGAAATTTAAAGACGATTTTTCAGTAGTTGGTTTCAGAGCTGCTGGTACTGAAGATTTAAATCCAGTTGGTTCAGTTTGGCAATCAGGCTGCTCGTTTTTTCTCTCTTATCATGAGATAAGATGGTGCAGTTCCCCTTAATTAACAGTTATTAACGTTACTATGTATTAGCTGCTAGAGTTACAAAGATGAAAAGTAATAGATATCCATTCTTAGGTAGCAGGTAGGTGGTGCAGTGGATAGAGTGCCAGAACTGGAGTCTGGCAGCCTCATCTTCCTTAGTTCAAATCTGGCCCCTGACACTTACTAGCTGTGTGACCCTGGGCAAGCCACTTAACCCTATTTGCCTCAGTTTCCTCATCTGTAAAATGAGCTAGAGAAGGAAATGGCAAACCACTCCAGTATCTTTGCCAAGAAAATCCCAAATGGGGTCATGAAGAGTCAGACATGACTTAACAACTTTTTCCTCTTTATTTAATGAAGAGGTCTTTCCTGGTTCCTTCCTTCCCAATTGCTAGTGTTTCCCCCCTAAAGTTCTTTGTATATATTTTCTATGTTTTTGTATTTTCTCCTCTGCTAGAATGGAAGTCCCTTGAGGGCAGGGGCTGTTTTATTTTTGTCTTTGTATTCCTATCACCTGCCTGACACACAGTAGGCACTTACATACTTGTTCATTAGACTGAAATGACTGAACAACAATTCTTAGGGGTGGAAAGAAGCAGTGGAAATCACAATGGGAGAGAAGGTACAATCAGATGGGAGGAGGAGACTAGGAGAAGGCAGAATCTGAATCGAGAAATGGGGGTGGTGGTCAATAGCATAAATACTGAGAAAAATCAGAGATAATAAGGACTGAGATGAAGGTTAGCTAGGAGAGTAATTTCAGTAGAATAATGGAGACAGAAGTTAGATTGCAGGGTTTTGAGGTGGGAGTGGTGAGGAAGTAGAAGCAGCTAGTGTAGATAACTCTAGAAGTCTGGGAGTGCAGAGAGAAGGCAATAGCTTTAAAAGTCAGATCAAACAGTCAAATCAGTAAATGTTTGTTAAGAACTATGTGCGAAGGACATAAAAACAAAAGTGAGGCCAGTACTGTCCTCAAGGAACAAAGGGAGTGGGTAATCACCAAGTTCACAGATAAGTAAATACTGGATTTTTTTTTTAAATTCAAACTGAGGAAAGTTGGGAAAGACTCTTGAACACTTACATAATATATGAGGTTTTTTTGCAAAGTGTTTTACATACATTATCTCATTTGATCATCACTACTACCCAAAGTGGATTAATGTGAATTAGTAGAGCTAAGGGAAAGGTTTTGGTTTTTGTTATTCTGTAAAAAAGGAAGGGATACTTGAGCCTGTGTGCAGATAAGGAACCAGTTGAGAGGAAAGAAGAGGAAGATGAGAGAGAGGCGATGATGGATGGAGTCAGGTCCTGAGGTGGGAATGGGAGCAAGAACAAAGGGTGAGAATTAGCCTTAGCAAGGTGGAGGGCCTTCAGAGAAAGGTTTTGATGTGCAGAGGGGAGATCAGAGGGTCACATTGCATGATAGGGGCAAAAGTCATCTCCTAAGAAAGAGTATGAAGTTAGAGGGTTGAGGAGAGGTCTGGAGCAGCTGCTGAGTACTGACCTAGGTAGGTAGCCAGATCAGAGGTATATAAAAGAATTGCTCTGCAGGGGGGCCCAGTTGAAGTTAGATAGCTTGTTTAGTCCCACTATCAATTCTGAGATTTCCTCCAGCAGTGCTAAGTGCTTTGGGAATAAAAATGGAGAAAGTGGATGGTGGGCATTATCCAAGGTTAAGAATTGACTGGTTCCGAAAGACAGGGGAGGGAAGGGATAGAGTGTGGATGAAGTGCCTTGTTGAAATTGGTGATCCTGGGGTCAAGACCCCAGAAGGAAGAGAAGCCAGATTGAGAGAACTGGGACAGGTCAGGCAGGATGTGGATAAAGATCAGGTTGAAGAGTAGTGAGCCAGCAGGAGTAGGACAGTAATTCCAGAATTCAGGATCTTATAAGTAGGCTAGCTTCCAGTTAGCGTGTGAATATTCTCAAGGTCCAAGGGCACTAAGACTTTATTAGCTTTTTCTCAATGTGAACAAGCTCATTTTAACTCCCAAACAGGGCTGCCATTTTTAGACATGGGAAAATCCCTACTTTCCAAAAGAGACAGTTCTTTAATCTGGGAGAAAAACAGGATGGTTACAGGGCCCAGCACCAGGAGGATTGCAAACAGGCACTAAATAAATTCTATTGTTCCAGCAGGAACAAACATGTGCTGGCTTCTTACTGAGGTCACTGAGATTCTTCAGTGACTTGGTTTATTTGGGTATAGTTTTGCCTAGAGGCAGGAGGGGGTCAACCAGATGACCTCCAGAAGTCCTTCCTGTTTCAAAACCAAAACTGAGATACTGTTTTAATTACAGGAGGCTCAGACAGGGAATACCGATGATTTTCATTTCGTGAATTATATTCAAAGACAGCATTTCATTTGTCAGCTGAACTGGGGGCAGGAGCAAATTAGAAGGAATGCAGCAGGATATTTGTCCCAGCAGCAGACCCCAAATCACACCCAACAATGACCACAAACAAGCTGAAGACAGAACTGGCTGTGACCTCGTGACAGTCTGGGTGCAGCCTTCATCCATTTTAGGGTCTGTCAAAAAACACTGCCTATGTCTGTTCTCAGGAATCTGCTCTTTGGCCATTAGCCTAATTAAACAATTCACATTTTGGCTGGGCAAGACGAGCAGCTGAAGGGAATAAAAGAAAAAAAACCCACTCGACCAACAACTTTCAAGATATCTTGGGAATTTAAAATCAGGAGAGGCTTTACAGACAATCACACCTCACCATGTTACACAGAATTTAAAGTTATACTGAAATGTCAAGGCCTCAATAAAATTCTTAGCCTTCTCTCCAACATTTAAAAAGCTATTTCCTTTTCCTGAAGGCCGAAATAACAACATCCATTTATAAAACAAAGGCCAGAGGAGTTGTGCTCATTCTCTCTCCCATGTCACCCCCCTCCCCGCTGTTACAGAATCAGTCAGCGACAGCTGCTCTGGACTTTTCCCTCCTGCCACAACAAGACCAAGACAAGAAGACTCTGTGAGCAGAAACTCAGACATTCCAGGGAAACACCACACCAACTGCTGATTTGGGAATCCAAAGTTTTAATAATAAATTGTGCCAGTAGAAGCTTTCAAAGGCAATGGTATATCAATAAATAACAGTTAAATTGAGTTCCTGAGAAAGAACCTACCACATGAAAGTATGTCAGATAGCTGTAAATAACAACAACAAAAAAAAAGCATCACTATAAAAAAAAGCAGTAATACTGAATCTTACGTGGACTGTCACAATACAAGCACAGCAGACCTCAGAACATGCCATTCATACAAATGTAAACACATACACAAGAATAATTTTTTTTTAGTTTAGATGATAAATTTATAAATGTTGTTGCTTGGATAACAATGGATAGAATAGGCTAAAAATTAAGGAATAATATATGGAATAACATAATAAAAAATACAAAGCGCCAGAATTTCAAAAAGCAAAAAAAAAAAAAAAAATTGAGCATTTTACTCAAATATAAAGCACTTTAAATAGGATTGTAATACTAATTTGAATTAAGGAATATTTTATGTGTTTATCT